GAGTCTGTTGATGGAATGTATGTGCCCTTTGACCAGGTGACTTGGTACCTGTGCTTCTCCGTGGAGTAGGTCCTTAACACAAGAATGCTTAAGCCCTGGAGGAGCTTGCTTCCACTGAATGAAAATGCATGATGTGTGTTCTGGAAGTTTAGTAAAGGAAAGCTCTTGTCCTTCCTTACTCAATGGTGGCTTCTTTGAGCCCAGATAACTATCTGGGCATCAGAAAGCCTAGCCCTAAGTCCTTATTTTCAGCTTTTCACAGAATCTCAATAAAACAAACATTTCAGAAAGTAGGTAGTAACAGTCTTAGCTATATTGCCATAGTAACTGCAGGTAAATCCGTACTTCAGAAACCATGCTTAAGAGAAGAAGGGAGTGAGAAGATATTTTCAGAATAGTTCTTCAGAGCCATTGTGTATCTCTAGTGTTTTATTACAAGGTTATTAAAAAAAAGAGAAGTTTGTAGGTAAGTCAGTTCAAATGTTTAAATACATTATCTTTCTGCTTTTAACACTTTCCAAGCACTTTGTTTTGTTGTTGTTTTTAAATTGAAGTATAGTTGATTTGCAATATTACTTTGAGGTGTACAACACAGTGCTTTGGTATTTTTATAAATTATACTCCATTAAAAGTTATAAAATATTGGCGGTATTCCCTGTGCTGTAGAATATAGATCCTTGTAGCTTATTTATTTTATTGATAGTGGTTTGTACCTCTTAACCCCTGCCCCTATTTTGCCCCTCCTCATTTCCCTCTGCCCACTGGTAACCAGTAGTTTTGTTCTGTCTGTGAGTCTCTTTCTGTTTTGTTATATTCATTTATTTTTTGAATTTTTTTTTTCCTAATTTATTTTTATGGAAGTGTAGTTGCTTTACAATGTTAGTTTCAGGTGTACAGTACAGCAGAGCAATTCAGTTATATATACATATATACACATTTTCAGATTTGTTTTTAAGTGATACTGTACAGTATTTGTCTTTCTCTGATGTATTTCACTAAGTATAATACCCTCTGGTCCATCCACGTTATTGCAAATGGCAGAATTTTCATTTTTTTTTCTGGCTGAATAATAGTGTATTGTGTGTGTGTGTTGTATATATGTGTGTGTTTGTGTATACACACATACGCATATCATACCTGTTGATGGGCACTTAGGTTGCTTCTGTATCTTGGCTACTATTTAAAAAAGCTGCTGTAAACATTGGGGTGCATGTATCTTTTGGAATCAGTATTTTCGTTTTCTTTGGATACATATACCCAGGAATGGAATTGCTGGATCATACTGTAGTAGTTGCTGCACCAATTTACATTCCCACCAAGTGTTCTAGGGCTCCCTTTTCTTCACATCCTCGTCAATATTTGTTGTTTGTGGTCTTTTTGATGACAGCAATTCTGACAGGTGTGAGGTGATAATTCATTGTGGTTTTGATTTGCATTTCTTTGATTAGTGATGTTGAGTATCTTTTCATGTGCCTATTGGTCATCTGTCTTTGGAAAAATGTCTACTCAGGTCTTCAGTCCATTTTCTTTGTTTTGGGGGTAAGTAAGTAGATTCATTCATTTACTTATTTAAATAGAGGTACTGGGGATTGAACCCAGGACCTTGTGCATGCTAAGCACACACTCTCCCACTGAGCTATACCCTCCTCCATCATCCTTTAAAAATTTTTTTTGAAAAAAATTGAGCTGTTTATATATTTCAGATATTAACCCCCTATTGGTCATATCATTTGCAAGTATTTTCTCCCATTTAGTAGGTTGTCTTTTTGTTGGGTCATTGTTGCTGTGCAAATGCTTTTAAGTTTAATTAGGTCTTGTTTATTTTTGCTTTTGTTCCTTTTGCCTGAGGTGACACCAAAAAAATGTTGCTGTGTCTTATGTCAAAAAGTGTTCTGCCTATGTTTTCTTCTAGAAGTTTTATAATTTCTGGTCTTATATTTAGGTCTGTACTCCCTTTTGAGTTGATTTTTGTTACAGTATGAGAAAATGTTCTAATTTCATTCTTTTACATGTAGGTGCCCACTTTTCCCAGCACCACTTAGTGAAGAAACTGTCTTTTCTCTATTGTATATTCTTGCCTTTGTCCTAGATTAATTGACCATATGTGTATGGGTTGATTTCTGGGCTCTCTATCCTGTTGCAATGACCTGTGTGTTTTTGTGCCAGTACCATACTGTTTGATAACTGTAGCTCTGTAGTGTATGGTCTGAAGTCAGGGAAGCACGATACCTCCAGCTTTGTTCTTGTTTTTGTCACGGTTGCTTTGGTACTTTACTTTGGATGTCTTAATTTTTAGGGCCTCTTAAGACCTACTTCTTTATTTAAAAAAAGTTGAGGTTCAGAAGGTTAGGAGTTAGGTGACATTTTATGCCAGATTGGGAGCAGGGAAGAAAGATGTCCAACTAGCAGTTCTTTGCGGGTTTTTTTTCTGGGTCACATTATAGGCCTGCACCTCAGCTACTCTGCTTCCCAAGGAGAAGTTAAAGTTCGGAAGTTAAACTGACGGAAGTTCAGTTTGTCCTTACAATCAGTTGCAGAAACCCTAATGTCCATTCTCTGTGGCATCCCTTTTCATCTGTGAGGAGTTGTGATTAATGTTGTGTTTTAAAAGATAAAGATTTGAATCCAAGCGTGAAGCAGTCTCCTATATGGTGTTTATTTATAACCTATTTGAAGAGTCAAGATATGAACTATAATAGCTATTATTCATTGAATCTTTCTAGACCAGTAGGCAATATATGTAAAGATCACAAGTGACCTTTATCATATTTTGTCGTAATCCCACTGTAGCCTAATGGGAGCCCCTCTGCCTGAGCAAGTGGCATGGCTGTTTACAAAGATTTGTCTGTTGTTCCAGCTGGAAGACTGTCCTAAGAGTCACTGCTGACCAACAGTGCCATCTACTGGACCGTGAGAAACTTTCTTGTTCTTGTTGGTTTAAAGGGGTTTGTGGTGGGCGGCAGAGGTAAACAAAAAAATTCCTTAGTTGGTCACTAGTAAATACCTCGTATTTAAACACTCTAGTATTTAGTAAATAATTCTCATTTCAAGAGTGGTAATACATACATGTATAGACAAAAAAAATTCAAATCATTTGTAATGTGAATACAGGCATCACATATTTAATGAACACCATCTTCTGCTACTAAAACTATAAAATACGTAGCCAGTGTAGTGTATTAGATCTTCATTGGCTTTACTTGTGTGTGTGTGTGTGTGTGTGTGTGTGTATAAAATTGAAGTATAGTCAGTTTACAATGTTGTGTCAATTTCTGGTGTACAGCATAATGCTTCAGTCATGAGCATACATATATTCATTTTCATATTTTTTCACCATTAAGTTACTACAAGATATTGAATACTGTTCCCTGCGCTATACGGTATGAACTTGTTTATTTTTTATTGGCTTTAGATTAGATAATTTGCCTGTTCTTAAAGGGAAATGGCTGTTTAGGGAGGGGCCCAGGTATCTGAAACAGATGTTAACTGCTGCCACAGAAATTCTTTAGTTTCAGAGTAAAACTGAAGTTCTGTGGAGGCAGGAGGGTCTTGGACCCATTTTATTTAAATACCTAACATTTGTGTATTGTGGTAAATTCTAGAAGGACTTTTGGCCTTTAAGATTGGTTGAATATAGTACTTGAGGAATTTGAATGTTTGAAACATACTCATTTATTGCAAAACTGGCAAAAGAATGGGATAGCAACTCAAGATAGGGATTTGGACTTTGGCTCAGTTTTCCAGCCTAGCTGAAAATTAGCATTGCTTTTCCATGGTTATGTGGTAGTAAATCTATTTGTGGTTTATAAAGCTGTTAGAAATACTTAAATATTAGGGTGACATAATGTTAGTTGAAAAAAACAGCATACTAATTTGTATATAATACATTATCTCTGTTCTGTGAAGAGGAAAAATACCTAAAAAAATTTGGGGAGATAACAGATGAGTAATTTTTAAAACTCCCAGGGTTTTAAAAATCAGACAGTTCAGGATGACTTAGTGATCGTCTGTCTACCTTTAAACAAACTCTTCTCCCCAAAGTTCAGGGTAGTAGTGGTTCCTAGTTCACTGAGCACCAGAGAAAATGTATTAAACACCAGGCCCAATAATGGTAGATGACCATATGAGAAGGAGTAAGTATCTGACGTGAAAAATTCAACAAACTGCTAATGATGGGAAAGATATGAATGGAATGCTTAGACCTAAGTGTGGATTCCCTAAATTAGTGTATGTGAACACAGGCTATGGCAGACCAATACGCAGTCTATGGAATCATCCACTAACCAGGGATGAATGCTGAATATAGTTTCTGGAGCTTGAAAATTTTGAAATTTCAGAACATAACAGCCATTTCTTACAAGGCTCAATCTAATTACTACTTTCATTTCTGGGAGAGTGAGAGGATAACCAAGTCACATGATAACCAGTTAAACAGATGTGCCAACTTTTTAAGATTAGTCCTAGAATTTGTTTCTGAAATCCTATGGCTTCAGTGGCTTTAAGTTTTGACTTGAATAATCTTTTGTTGTACGGTCAGTTCAGCTGTTCTGAAAATGCAGATTTGTTACAGCATTGTTGATGTATAGGGAACAATCTGAACAAACTGGTGTTTGCCTAAGGGGCAGTTTTGTCTCCAAGAAAAACTTGGACTGAAGAAAAGTGTGCCACCTGAATCTTCAGGGTGTTATTGAGCCACACCCACCCAACCCAGTGTTACAACTTTCCCTCTAATTTCAGATAATCCTTCCTCCACCACTTCAGAGTCTCAGTCACAAGCTGCAGCCCTTCTGATGCCCACTTCCCGTCTGTCTTCAAGGTAAAGTGCCGTACTTGTAGTGTTAATCTATCTCTTAAACATTTAACCTACCGTAAAACTGCTACTGTCTTTTAAAAATGTATTTCTGTTAAAGTTTTTGAATGTTATGCTCAAATCCCATCCCCCCCACCCCCTTTAAGTCCTGGGGTTTTAATGGACTTTTTGCACAGTGCTGTGATTTTTAGGAACTGACTGTAATGGGACTCAGTCTCCTTTCTTAAAAGGTTACAGGCTGGCTTTTTCTTTTATCTGGAAAAAGTCTAACAAAATATTTTTATTAAGTTTCATTCAACATAATTTGTTTCTGCAAAAGTATAGTTATTAGAAAATTTGCTGAAGAGTGCTTACATATGCCACATAAGAATACTCATTTCCAAAGGAACTAGAGGACATAATATTACTAGGTTGGCTAAATATTTCAGTTAAGAAAAGCACCTCAAGCCATCATCATCTCTAGGTGTTTGATGTGAAAACAACTTGTACTGTACACAATATGGGGGAGATGAGGCTACACTGCCTTGCCCATGCCGTACCCAGCAGAAGGTGTCTTGACTTGTCTTCCTGACGTTCACCTCTTACACTGGCAGTCTCAGAAGCAGCTCCTACCCCTCTGCTTCTCTAGCACAAGAGTTGAAGACTTTGTAAGTCACTTTTGAAAGTATGTTCGAAGTCTCACATAGCTAATATGTCAATGGAAAAAGGCTGGAAGGCAAATTAAATATGTCCACAACATTTGCTCTGTCCCTTGTAAGACTGTACAAGTACTGCCACCTCTGAAGCCTTCCATAACCCAGCAGTGCATATTACACCTTTTCCATGTGCTTTGTATCTTAGCTGACCCTTGAACAAGGGTTTTAACTCTCTGGGTCCACTTATATGTGTTTTTTTTCCTATAAATACTATAGTACTACGTACGTAACCCACGTTGGTTGAATCCCTGATGTAAAAACTGTTGATATAAAGGGCCGACTATAAAGTTATATCCCTAATCCCATGTTGTTCAAAGGCACACTGTTCTTGTTACCTAGTGTTTAGCATTGATGGCACAATCCTGAGGTTCCTAAGGGAATATCTGATCATATTACCAGTGCTAAACATATAGCAGATACTGAATGAATTATAAAAATTCTATCTGACAGTATCCCCACATACTGTAAGTCTCATGATTCCGAAGGCAGGGGCAATGAGTCCTGCATGTCTTCACCACGAACTCCCTCCACTTACTAAGCCTGTGTGGCCTACCTTGATCCTGTGCTTTTTCTGTCCTGCATTCTGTAAGAGCTTGATATAGGACCTGTGAGTCAGTTACCATCCTCACTATGCTGGCAGAGGACTAAGGCTCTCCTTTGGGAAGTAGTCAGTCTCATCTCACTTTGCACTTCTTCAATTCCATTTGTTCTGACCCAGCTATCCAGATCTTTTACTTGTCAAATCTGGAGTCAAGGACTAGGGGCAGGAAAGCAGTGCTGAACTCCTAATGTGCCCTCAGAGTGTACCCTCTTTCAAAATGGGAGTCCAGCTCTGACCCACATATGTAATACATATCCTTGGTATACCCTCCATTGACCCCAGCCAGGGCTGAGGTCTTTTTCATATACAAAACACAGAAAAGACAGGCAGTCGTCCAGTCTTAGCTGCAGCTGGTTGGCTCATTTACAGACAACTGGCTGAACAGCTGAAGTCAGCTGTGAAAATCTCCCTGGTACTGAAAGGGAAGTCACTTTGTATGCAGCCCGTGACCCAGCGCTTACTAACATTTTTTTTGGTTTGTTTAAAAGTCACTTTGCTTTCAGTGAAAGAGGCAGATTAATTACTGTGAGAACCAAAGTACTTTATACACTACTCAGTTCCTGAACCTTCCATGTGGTTTCAAGGCGTAAGTATTGGGGTGATCTAATTATTGTGTAACCAGGGGTGTCATAAATTTTATAGTTGGGAAAGGTTTGAGTCTGAATCTTGGTGACAGACTTGGTGGCATATAGCTTTGTATCCTGGCCACGTGCTACACACCCCAATTCATACTGCGCAGTATACCAAATAGCTGTACGATTTTAATTCAGTCTTTTCCCTCTTCATGGCTGACTGTCCTGATCTGGTCTGGGCTTTGATAAGCTGGCATTTGGAAGTAGAACATGCTGAACCATCTGAGCCAACCAAAAGGACAGAGGAAACAGGTAAATGGTCAGAGGAATTGCTCCATCAGGTAATAACTCCTCAGCCTTCTAGAAAGATCAATGAATGTCTCTAATGATAAAAGCATTATGGTTCTGTCTCCACTCCCGACCCAACCCTCCTCACCAACAATTAGATCAATAGCACAGAATTCAGACTATGGATAGAATACTCTCGTCAGACGACTGCTTTGAAAGAAGTCATGCTGCCAGCCTTGATCTGCCTTAGCTTCAGCTATTCTGTAGGGGTTGTAGGATGGTTTAAAGGTGGCTCAAGCAATAGCAAGAGAAGCAAAGACCTTTTGGAAGAAAATCACCAAAGATTTTGGGCTCCTAGCAGACTTTAGGGGACCAGCAGGAGGTAGTGTATTCCAGAATTAGTATTATGGGCTTGAAATTAATTTCACATCAATTAAATCTGATGGAATATATGAAAGTGTTAGGCAAAAGATACTATTTAATGAACTGAGGCACATTTTGGAAAGAGGTATTAAAGAGTAAAAAACTTAGGACAGGTATAGCTCAGCAGAAGAGTGTATGCCTAGCATGCACAAGGTCCTGAGTTCAATCCCCAGTACCTCCATCAAAATAAATAAATAAAAACCTAATCCCCTCCCCCAAATGAAATTTTTTTAAAGTGAGAAACTTAAAAAGATTCACATAATCATTTGAACTCAGACTTAAAAAAAAACCAAACTATTGGACAAGTAACCATCCATCCCATTAACCCTTATTCCAGGTGGAGCATTGATGTGATATGTAATTGCTCACATTCCTGGCTGAACCTTGCCTGGAATAGAAGGTAGTCTACATGGAACTAACAGATGGTGAACATAAGCAACAGGATAAAAACTGAGCAACTTGCAAGGTCACAATTTAGTCCACCGCTTTTTTCTTTTTAAGCTATGAGCTTTCCGATAAGAAAAGGCCATCCCTTCAGGATCCTGCAGGTGTCAGTGGAGGACTATATAATGGTTAGGATTATGAGAGCCTCAAGCAGCCAACTAATAATAATACTCAGCTATTAAAGCCAAGACTCCAAATTAAAGCAGCTTACCAAGGTCAGACGGTAACAGAACTCATACTCAACCCAGGCTGACTGACTGCAGGCTTTTCCCTGCCACTGCTCTCCCCTATCCCCCTCCCGCCCACCCCAACAGTAGATAAGCAGCTACCTCTGCCGTGAAAAACACTTGTTTGAAGTTGTTTGCTCACACACATAATCATGGTTACCTGTATTCTTTAGTTGGGCCACAGGACAAATAAGCTGAGGCACTTACTACTTGTGGTGCCTGTAGTAAAGTGTGAAGAAAGTTAAAAGACGCTTACAAGAGTAAAAGACAAGAAGGAGATGTCCCAGGAGAGAACATGGTTATCACAACAGCATGCTGGTAGTCACCTCGACGATGAAGCCTCCAGCAGTGAGTGCAGGCCAAAAGAGGGAGAACTCTTAGACTAGCCAATTTTTGATAAAGTCCTTTTAATGGAAAATGTAAAACCCCTCTCAACTTTACAAAGCCATATGTAACACTTGCACTTTAACAAATAGAAGCAAGCCAATGTTTTAAAAAAATACATCATTAAATGTATATATGTATATATTTACATAGCATATTAAGTTTAATATTTAGCTTTAAAAGTTCACATAAATTTTACCAAAATGAGACAATTTTAAATAAATTACACCTTTTGAAAATGTTTAATTGTACAGTCAATAGCTTCAACAAAATATTGAAGTGTCTGCATTTAGTATCTACTTTATATACTTTATATTTTACAAATTTTACAATTATTTGGCAGTAATTTTCTGATTACGACATGTATGCTGTGCGATTCAGCAATTTCCCAAATGCAGGCAATAGCTGGTGTTTGTGTCCTATTCTCACAGTAACTGTCTCAATGTAGTGAAAAATATCAGTTATTTTAGTAAACTGTACAAGGTCACATTTACACTTGATCAACAATATAGCATAGAATTTTGTATTTTTTTTCCAAAAATAAATACATCATTTTAAATCTGGCATTTTCACAAACATCATATACACTATAATACAAAAACAGCTATGAACTGCTGCTTTTAAAATTTAGCTTGTTTTTAATAACTAACATTGAGTCACAGGAGCTGTGACTTATGCTATACTGCCATGGTGTCAGTAACAAGTAATTACTACAAAGAGAATTTCTTGGCACTGATGGTTTTATGAAGCTTAAGTCAGTGTGCATAAGTATCACTATTCAAGAGTAACTAATTCCAGTTCAATGGCTATAAACATCAAACTGGACCACACCTAATTTTCTTCCATATCCTCTACTTCATCTTCATGTATCTTCAAAGCTCTTACCATTTCCTTCACTGCATGATATAAGATATTTTTAACCTGAAAGAGATGTTGGTATTTCTAATCACTTCAGCAGGAGATAAGTTAACAAATGAAAACTGCCAGAGTTTTTTTTTTTTTTTTTAAAGAGGAAAAGTTGTTAAACCAAAAGTTAAAACGAAGGCTAAAAGTCATACAGTTAAAATGCATACTGGAGTCAATCTTCAGTTGTTATCCTAATGTGACAAAAACTAGAAAATGATGGCCTAATGTCATGCATATATCATAATTTAGAATATAAAAAGCCTGCAGAACAGGAGCTAATTAGAAAACTTAGCTCTTACCTGTAGTTTATCATCATAATTGATTTCTTCCTTCAAAAGTCTCAGTTCCTGTGTTAAATGAAATGACTGTACAAGATGTTCTGGAGACACAAAGTCTTCAGTCACCTGAATACAGCTGTGAAAATTCTGTACCTATCCCCAAAACAAAATCAGTAAAGTATAAATTTTAGGAGGCGGGAATAAAGAGAAGCAAAGTTGTCTGTTAACTGTAAACACAAGAGACAATTCACCAGAGAACTTACTTCTCCTAAACATCAAACACATTTCAAAGCAAACACCACACTTTATGAGAAAGCTGTATCACTTACAATGTAAAGTGATTTCATGTAAATGGAATGTTTTTAAATAATGAACTTTTCTAGGAATCATTCAGATAGGCTGATAATTAGATCCTAATTAGGTATTTTGTCAAAGTGGATTTTTAGGTGTTACTTTTAAAAACAAACAAACAAACAAAACCTGGAAGGTATTTGTTTTAACAAGTCAGTGCAATCAATGTGGATGTCTGCTGTTGCTCCTCTGACTTTCAGCATTTGATGATTTCACTGTTAACTTTTATACCCGAGAGTAGATTTAAGGAAATGAAACTGAGTTTGATTATTTGTGAGGAACTGGAATGAAAATGTAGTTCCAGACAGACCTATTGACCATAACAGTTTTAGAATTCTTCTAGGATTTTTGTGCCCTTTCTTTCAAATAAATTAACCAATTAATGCTACCCTTCAATTTCCTGTTGCAACTGTTTTTCTTTTGGACAGTTGTCTCTTAACTAAATGGTTTTCACAAGAAGCCAGTAAATATCCGTTAATTGTTTAGGATATACAAACCTACTCTGCACTTTACTATTTCTTAGAACTGCTTTGTGTCAATGCTCAGGAAAAGGACCAAGCTGATCCGATCTGGATTTTGTGATTTTTCTGTTGTCTTCTAGTGATATTAAAAGGTATTATTATAACATTCCTGGGAAAGGAGAAATAACTGAAAACTAAGCATGTAAATTCTAATTTTTTTAAAGTGTGAAATTGGGAGGAATGAGAAGAGGGAGACAGTAAGTGGGGAATAGAGACTGAGGAGAAAAAAATCTAACAGCAGAATGATGAAACTCTAAAGGGGCTGGAATTCCTCCTCTGGGCATAATGACCACCCGAACAGATGCAAAGTCTGCGAGTTCTTTATTCCTTAACTCAAGCACTATGCCTCTACTGATAACTCGGTAGCATACGTATAAAACATTTTCTTCCTTTAATCATTAGGTTGGCTCCTCTGGAGGATGAACATAGTGGCTGCCTCACATTCTTGGTACTGCTGTACAGTCTCACTGGATCTTCATTATATGTCTGTAGAACAGAGGCTATTTCACAGAGCAGGAAACTACAGGTAAGATGTTCAGACCCTGTTCTAAGATAAATCAGCTAATGAATGGCAAGTCAACAGGAACCCAGCTCCTGTATTTTGTCTAACAGATACTTTACAGGCCTACAATAACTCAGTCATACCAGCATAGTCTCCAGATGCCCTGTCTTGTCTTAAACTTATCTGAACATGTATGGGCATCAAGTCCTTCTAAAGTGCTAGCGTGTACCTTTTAGCATGTGTACCTTTATTTTTTAAAAAAAACTTCTCAATTGATATTCTAATTTTGTTCATATGTCGTTTGCCTGGTTTTATTTAGCTCTTTGAGCATATTTAAGATAACTGGCTTAAAGTTTATGCCTGATGTGTGAGCTTACTCAGGGATAGTCTTATTTTTTCCCTATGAATGGTCCATACTTTCCTGTTCCTGTGCCTGCCTTGTGACTTTTTTTGAAAACTGGACGTCTGAACCTTATAATGTGGTAACTGGAAATCAGATGTTCCCCCTGCCAGCAGGGTTTGCTGCTGTTGACTGATGTAAGCTGCAGCCAGCCATCTGTTTTGTGACTTTGAAAAGACTATACTCCTTGTTGGGTGTGATCACTGAAGTCTCTTGTCCCACTGTCTCAGTGGTCAGCCGGTGACTTGCCAGAGACGTCCTTAAATACAAAATATTAGATGCCCTTTCCTTCATTAAGCAGTGCCCTGGTCGATGTGAGTTTTGAATTAGACTCCAGAGCTCTGAAAAAGTTGATTGTCAGTCTTTGCCAGTTCATGGTTGTCAGTTTTAGAAGTGACTTTTATTAGTGGTTACAAGGTACTGTTATGTTTCCTAATGACCTCAGCCTGATGTATTTTGCTTAAAGACTTAATGGTTAGTGTGAAGAGGCAAGGTTCAGTTTTAAAGAGGAACATATTTGAACTTCCCATTCCACTTACCCCTTTTTGGGCCATCTTTGAGTCATTCACATCTCACTTCCTTGGCAGACGGTATTATTCATACTTGCTTTAAAAGATCAGTTGTGATAATAAATACAGCTAATGTTAAGAAAATGTAATTCTTCTGTGTTCATAGTAGGAAGGTAATTATCTTGACACCGTGACTGCCATATACACAGTGACTTGTGAGAACTTGTGAGTGCAAAGATTTTGCCTGTCTTTCTAGTCACATGAATGTAGGAGAATTTACAACGTAGAAATATAATATATAATAAACTCACTATGAGTGACCAAACACAATTAAGCTAAGTAGTTAAGGACAAAAATTATCAGTAAAGAAAGTGTTGCTGTTGAAAACTAAAAGCTACTCTAAACTCCAGAATACTAGAGCTGAGACAAAGTAAATCCTGGAGGTCAGGATCCTCCTGCTCTAAGGACAGATACAAGGATTTCATAGACTCAGTCATGTTTGCCAACAGGAGACTTTTTAAATCTGCAATTCTAAACTAGTTCTTAGAATATATAAAAAGGGCTGTGGGTAGAATACCTTCCCTCCCCAGCTCAGCTTCTTAAAAGTGCCCACTGCTGACAAATCAGGTATATCAATTCTTTCCTACCGCTGCTGGCCCATCATGTCATGCAGGGTCATTTTCTTGAAACTTCATTGATAGATGCTTGGGTTTGCAAGGGTTTCCTATTTGTGTAGTTCTTAAAGCATGGTTCCTGTACAGTAATATCAGCATCACCTGGGAACTTGTCAGACACGTAAATTTTCAGGTCCCTTCTCAGACACACTGAGTCAGAAACTCAATAGTTTCTAGGCATGGGGTCTAGCAATCTGTGTTGTAGCAAGCCCTCCAAGAAATTCTGGTATATGCTAAAGTGTGAGAAGCACTGACTTAGAATTTGGGATTATTTTAAGGGCTACCTGTAGTCTATTCAAAGTGTTGAAGCCATAAATGAAAACTTTTCAGGACCTCTACAGACTAAGTAAGTTGTAAATAGTAACGCATCTTAAATCCAAGTTAACATTGTGAATAGTGTTTTTACTTCCTTTTAATTCTCTCTCAAAACCATATCACCACCACATATGAGTCATGGACAACACCTTTTCAATAGAGTACAAATAACTGTGCTGTCATTATCATACCACATACGGGAAGGAAGGTAGAAATTCTTGTTCTTATAGCTGGCAATTCTTTGCCAAAATATGTAGCAGAGAAGTTTTGTCTTGGGGTAACCCCCCTCAGCAATTTAGTGGCAGAGCTCAGAAAAGCATTTGCCAGTCTAGGCCATACCATGCTGCCTCAGTCTATTTAAGTAGAGCATCTTGAGAGAGAGAGAGTTTGTGTGTACAGGATACAGGTACATATTGTTTAGCACCTGCTGAGGCTTTCGGCAGTGATTTGTGAACTAAGCTTTTAACAGGATCACTTTGCCCACTATTTTGGGAAAACAAGGATATTCTCTTCTCTCTCTCTAAAGCAGTAGAGACACATTTACAGGCATGGATTCTGTCAGTGTCAACAGTGACTGCCTCTGGAGGAGAGAAACTGAAGGCAAAGGTAAGCAAAAGACTGAATTTTCACTATGAAACCTTGTGTACTGTTTGAACTTTCAAAAATCATGAATGTATTACATTTTCAGAAAAATATTTAAAAATAGTTTTTTCAACAAACAGTACTGAAATGTCAATATGTAAAAAAACTGACCATCCACACTTTGCACCATATACAAAAATTAACAAAAATGAATGACAGACCTAAATTTAAGACTAACAACTATAAAGCTTCTAGAAGAGAAAAAGTTTGTGATCTTGGGGCCAGGCAAAAATTTTGCAGATACAACAATAAAAGTATAATACATATAAAAACTGATCAACTGAACTCCATCAAAATTAAAAACTTCTGTTCTTTGGAAGATACCATTAAGAAAATGAAAGGACAGTCCACAAACTGGGAGAACATATGTGCAAAAACACATATCAGATAAAGACACTCAAAACTCAGTAAGAAAAGAACCCTATTTCATTAAATACGTATTTGTCCATTTTTGATCACAAATACTTCTCCTACTCTTTGGATTACGTTTTCATTCTCTTAATAGTGACTAACATATTCCAATCTATCAGTTTTGAATAAAAGGACAAATATTTGAACACACATTTACCAAAATAAATTAACAGATGGCAGATAAGCACATGAAAAGATGTTTAACATACTTAGTTATGAAGAAAATGTAAATTAAAGGTATGATGAGATAACAATGCTTACTTATTCAAATACTTAAAACTGACAGGCGAGGAAATGGAACTCACATTCACATATACTAGTCTGAGAAATGGGAAATGGTACAGCCACAAGCCTGGCAGTGTCTTATAATCATACATTTATCATGTGACCAGGTGATCCCACTTGCTGGTATCTATCTACCCGACTGAAATGAAAACCTCTGTTGAGAGAAAAACCTGTAGGTGAATGTCTGTAGTGGCTTTATTTATTTATTGCCCCAAACTGAAAACCACCCAAGTATCCTTTAACTGCTGAATGGATTTTAAAAAAGGGATACACATACACAGTGAAAAACCACACAGAAATAGAATCAACTACTAATATACACAACAACGTGGATGAAACTCAAGTGCATTATACTGAATAAGAAAAGCCAGACTCAAAGGCTACATATTGTATGAATCCAATCATATGCATTCTTATAAAGGCAGAATCAGGGGGAAGAAAACAGATGAGCGATTATATGAATGTCAGGAGAAGTTGACAAAAAAAGTGGGGGGAGGAGGGAATTTTTTGGAATGATAGAAATGTTCTGTAATTTGTCAAAACTTACAGAACTGTACACTAAAAAGAATACATTTACTGTATGCAAATTACACCTCACAAACGCACTGTCGTTTAAGAAAATGGATATTGGATAAACTATGTAAGGATTTTCAAGGGAACCTGTTTTGTATTATAAAATATTCCTATTTACAAAAAGATTTACTATTCTCAAACATGCTCTTTTGAGAGCATTTTACATTTGGATACAGATTACCTACTTTCTGATAAGAGGTTAGAAGGCCAAAAAAGGTATGTGAAGTGAATCTTAACTATGAATCATAAATGATACACCTCTGAAATGGTCATGTAAGTCCATGGGAAAATAAAGTAACATTAATAATACATTCATTAATACATATATTTTTTCTCCAGAAAGTTACTGTAGAGAAGAGGTATATTTATTATAATGATGTTTGAGATGTTATTTGAGATCTAAGAATGGTAACTCTAACCCTGAACTTAACATCTTAAAAACTAAGCTCCTATTATCACTTAAGAAGTATTTGTGGCTATTATAAAAGTGTCACAAATGTTATACAGGCAGTAATTGCATATAGTTATATAAAATGTAGGAAACTTTCTTTGGTAAAAGTACACACATCAGATATATCTCTATAACCAGGTAGTGGCAAAGGTGGGGAATCTAAGGCAAAGTAGCTTTTTGGCTTGTTGAGTTCTTTTACACTTTGTTATTACTATGAGGGCTAAGCTGGGCTGTGGTAGCTTCAGTCTACTTATAGAAATCCATTGTATGCCTTTAATCCAAAGCTGTCCTCCATACAGACCACCTAGCCTATGCCATTCTTCTAGGTGCTACACAGTCCAGCCACAAAAAAACAGATTGGGTATTTAAATTGTGGATCAAGAGCTATAAAAATTTACACAGTCTTATTTTAGACATGCGATTGCTATGCTGAGCAAACTAAAGCGAGGCAGGAAATACAATGAAAGCCTGAATTATGGAACAGTCAAGCCAATAATTCATTCTAGTCATCACTTGGTACCTTAGAAAATGTATAATCTCTTATTAGTCTTGATACTCACCCCTTCCACTGTTAAGTCTTAACTATTGAGAACTCAGTATATATAGTATCTTTTTTCCCCTCAAAGTTTTTTTTTAAAATTGAAATATCAGTGATTTACAGTGTTGTGTTAGTTTCTGGTGTACCCCTCAAAAAGTCTTTAAAATTAGATTTCAATCCACTAAATCAGAGACAATACAAAAATGGAAATCTGGCTCATGTTAACAGAATGTAAGCTCTCAAAGCATTTGATTATGTCAGATCTCATCAAGTACTGGAAAGCTGTTTTAGTGATTTCTTAATGAAAGCATACTTGTGCAGTTCATTCCCTTATGTCTTCATTTATCTATACTCAGAATAATTTCTTTTTCAAAACTGGTTCTTTCAGTAAAAGGTGTGTTGGAAATAACTTTTTAAATACCTGATGAAGTGCTCCTGCTGGTAAGACAATGGCATCACCAAGGAACTGAATAAGAGTGCAGGTTCTGACTCCATATTCCTCAAGCAATCTTTGGCGAAGCTTTCTGTTTACATACCAACTTTGGTCACGTATTGGATCATGTTCTGGTAGAACTTCAAGGCCTTGTTCTTTTGAAATCTGAAATATGGATTAAAATTAAAATATATACCCCAATTTAAGCAAAGGAAATGGTAAATTCTGTTCAGTTAAATTTCAACTTTCTTTACAGTAAGTCTTTCTCAATTTTCTGGAATGCTGAGTGCGCTGAAGTTAAAAAAAAATTCTACAATTGTAAAAGCCAAAGGATATTAAAAAAATACCCTGATATGCTGTAAATAAGGTAATTCATACTCCCCTCTCACCTCCTCCTTCCACTATGAAGCTTTCATCCATCTGGTTCCTTATAACTACTGCATAGCACAAAGATGAAGAAAAGCTTAATTTAGCAGCTTCTCCCCAAAAGCCAAACCATTTATATGTATGGACTTCATAAACATTTCTTAATCCTGCTCTTTTTAAAAGGTAGGTACAAAGATAAAATACCCTAAATATTGCTTACCTTTTAACCCTTGACAAATCAATTTCAGGGGACCCTTTGACTAACCAGTGAAATAATCTTCTGCTTTAAAAACCATAATTTATAATATTTTAAATTAAAAGACTGATAGGTGTTCTGGGATAAGACAGTAGGTACAGGGCCACAGCTCCTTCACTTCACACTGACCAAAGACAAACCGTAAGTCCATCCAGAAAGAAGATGAAGTGTAGTATAAGAAAAGCAGCAATTATGGTCCCTTAAAAGAAATCCCTATAATTACAAAATACAGAAAATATCTGAGTCAAGGGTTTCAATCAATTTCAGATTAATGTGTCACTTTTTTTT